GCTCCTCCTGCAGGGACTGGTCTCGGATGGGCACCAGCTGCTTCACCTGTCAGGGCCCAAGGGCAGCAGGGGTTAGAGGCCAGCTTTGGTCCAATGGGAGCGACCAAGAGATGGGGTGATGGTCCCAAGTGTGGGGGTGGGAGCAGAGGGGGGGAGAGGAAGGGGAGGGGGATTCCCAACTCTGAGACTAAAGGGAGAGCTCATTCTAGCTGTGACTGCCGCCCATGCCTGCTTAAGACTGGGTGGCTGTGCGTCGGGGACACTAGGCTGAGTGGGTGGGTGTTAGGGACACTGGGCTGGGTGGGAACTGTGCTGGATTTTAACCAGGAAAATAAACTTTTCTTAAGAATGAGACAAAAGGCTCAAATAACCCTATTTTCACTCTCACTGGATTGGAGGCAGCAAGTGAGGCGAGTATTTTAGTTCCCAGAAACAGTTTTCTAAGCAATTTTCTGAACTGAAAAGTCACACACCTGTGGGACATGCTCATCCTGTATTCTGAAAATTCTTGAATAGGAAGCCGACCGCACCAAACTTTCAGCTGCGGTTTTAAAATAGTTAAAACTTGTGGTCTTAGTATCAGATTTTCCTTCAGGAAAAATCCTCTCTACTTCCCTTAAAAACCTCAGAAGTTGCTGAATGGCATTTAAGAACTTAGCATATTTTGTCGGTGAAATTTGGGGTAAACGATGCAAAATCAGGCAGTCACTCTCACTGCCCCGGGGTTGTTATGTCTGCCCTCAACCTCGGCTTCACGCGGGCCCTGGTCCCGCACACACGCCCCGTCGCCCACCTTGTCCCACTTGTTCCGCAGCTCGTCCATGGTGACGGTGCTGTAGGGGTTGCTGGAGCTGATCCGGATGTTGTAGCTCTGAATGACCTTCTCCACCTCGTTCTGGATGGCCATGATGGACTGCCGCTCGCCGTCCGCCTCGGGCAGCGTGGCCTTGAACTGCTCGTGGGCCGTGATCAGACTCTGACCAGAGACACAAGTGGGAAAACCGATCTTAGGTCATGCGAATGTCACAGTGTTCCGTGTTCCCGTCTGCACACACATGAATTTCTTTCCCTCCCTCCCTTCCTTCGTTTTTTTTTGTTTTGTTCATCCTCACATGAGGATATTTTTCATTGATTTTTAGAGAGAGTGGAAGGGAGGGGGAGAGACAGACAGAGAGAAACATTGATGTGAGAGAGACACATCAATTGGTTGCTTCTTCCTGCACCCCCAACTGTGACCCGGGATCGAGCCGGCAACCAAGGTACGTGCCCTTGACTGGAATCAAACCCAGGTCCCTTCAGTCTGCTGGCTGATGCTCTATCCACTGAGCCAAACCGGCCAGGGCCACGAATGCCTTTCTCCCTGCAGGGATCTCTGGAGGAAAACAAATCTGAATGCTTCAGAAAAGCTATTTTGTGCACAAAAATCAAGTTCTTTGAAATGGAAAAAAAAAAGATATCACGGTGACTATTTAATCAATGGCTAGAAACCCAAAGTCTTCAAAAACAATGTTCCCTTTTTTAAGAAAAATCATATTTGCTTCCATTATTCCCACCCCCAGCTTCTGTGTAGGTGTCTCTCTCTCCACCGAGGGCAGAGCTTAACTTCGCTGCCCTTTCTGAGGACCCGTGTGTGCCTTTGACGTCCCACGAAAGGAGCCAGCACTGCTGCCTTCACACCTGCAGACGCCCAGGAAGCACACCCCTCACTCCCCAAGGAGAAAAGGCACAGACGTGAACTCTTACCCTTCAGGCGCCATCAGACCTCCTGCATCCCACAGCAGCCTCCTGGGACAAAACCACCTGCTGCCGCGCGAGGACGGACGGGCCCCTACCTGGATCTCCTCGATGCTGTGGACGATGAACATGTCCTGCAGGTCCTCCATGGCGCCCTCCATCCAGTTGTTGAACGGGGCAGCTCTCTTGGCAAACTCCAGGTGCAGCTGGTCGATGGTCTCCAGCAACTTCTCGGTTCTCTGGACAGAAAGAAGCAGGCGCGATCACAGATTCGATAATAATAATAAAATAAACTGTCTGAAAATGTGCATATGCATTCCAGAGCCACACACGATTCCCTGACATTCTGGGAATCACAGCGTTCTCGTCATTAGCGTGTCGACACACAAGATTAACCACCGTTCACATCATCAGGCCGAGCCCGGCAGCTCTCTGCAGTGTCTTCTCAGTCAAAGAAGGGTTTGATGACATCCAAAGCAGCCTGGTTTGGCCCTAGCTGGTTTGGTTCAGTAGACAGAACCTCGGCCTGTGGACTGAAGGGTCCCAGGTTTGATTCCAGATCAGGGCACATGCCCGGGTTGCGGGCTCGACCCCAGTAGGCAGCCAAGCAGGAGGCAGCCAATCAGTGATTCTCTCTAATCATTGATGTTTTTCTCCCCCCCACCCTGTCTCCCTTCCTCTCTGAAATCAATAAAGACATATTTAAAAACAAAAACAACAACAAAGGAGCCTGGTTTGAAGGTACTTAAGAAATCCACGACATGTCACCTTTTAGAAAACTGAGATGCCCTGCTTGGTAAGTCAGAAGTGATTCCCTAACCACGTTACATAACTGAAAATTCAGGGCAGCCTCCCCATTTCAGTCCACAGTCACAGAGAGGATGCCTTTCCTGAAAGTCCCCACCTCATGGAGCAAGGAGGACTACAGGTTATTTTATAATTTTTTTATATTTTAAATATATTTGTATTGATGTCAGAGAGGAAAAGAGAGAGAGAAACATCAATGATGAGAGAGAATCATGGATCAGCTGCCTCCTGCACGCCCCAACTGGAAATCAAACCATGACCTCCTGGTTCATAGGTCAACGCTCAACCACTGAGCCACACCAACTGGGCCCCCTGATTTTTTTTAAAAAAAATATAGTACAAAACTCCCAACTTCTCATTTCCCTCTTTTTCCTACTTTTCCTACTCTCTTTGGAGGCCCCTTGCACCGGACAATCTGCTTTGTTTTATATACATAGTAACACAGAAAAGCAAGAAATCAGTGACAGGGACGTAGGGGAAGAGTCTGGGTTCCACATCCCCAGGCGGCGTAGAGACCTCACCTCCAGGGCCTCTCTCCGCTTCTGCGTAAGCGTCCCCAGCCTGTCCCACTGGTCACAGATCTTCTGGCACCTATCATTGACGTTCACTGCGTCGTGGTAGTCCAGCTCGCTGTTCGAAGTGAAGACAGAGATTAGCAGTCCCAGAAGATGGCAGGAAAAATGAGCAGAGTCCAGATAAAGAGATCATATATATACTAGAGGACCGGTGCACGAAATTCGTGCATGGGCAGGGTCTCTAGGCCTGGCCGGCCAATCAGGTTCCCCGCCTCCCCACTTCCTCCTTCCCTCTCTCCCTCAGCGCCCTTCCGCTGGTCACCCGCCATGTTCCGGGCCACCCCCTGGTAGTCAGCGCACGTCATGGCGAGCGATCCAACTCCAGTCTCCCAGTAGAACTCCCAAGGGAACAATTTGCATATTAGCCTTTTATTATGTAAAGGAGGATTTTTAAAAGATCTGGTAGAATTGGCAGGTATTTCAGGGTTTTGTTAATCATCACAGGACGATCTCACCCCAGATTCCTCCAGCTTCGCTCTCCCTAAACTCCAGACAGGAAAGAAGGCTGGGCCGGACTCCTCCCTGGGAAGGCTCCGGGGAGCCCTTCCCCCGTCCCCACACCCATGGGGTGGGTGTCCAGGGCCCCACATACTTGAGCTCCTGCGCGATGGCGGCGATCTGCTCCACGCGGTCCTGGTGGGCCGCCAGGTCGCTCTCGAAGGCCTCGTGCTTCCGCAGCAGGGCCCGCACCTCGGTCAGCGTCGCCGACTCATAATCCTTCTGCAGCAAGATCTGCTCTTTGCCTGCAAAGGTTGGCACAAGAGTGAGAATAGGCCTATGTCACCGGCAGCTTCTTGGTGCCTGCAAAGTTAGGGAATGAGCAGAGATTGTGGAATCAGCAGAAAAAGGAGGGGAGGACAGGAGGAGGCCAGGCCCAGCGTAGGCAAGTGTGGGAGGAATGTATTTCAAGTGCCATTTTGTGAAAAAAAAAAAAAATACATTATCTGCTCCATTAGGAAGTAAGAGGCTTAGTGCGAGAAAGCAGAGCAGAGAGAGGCCAGGATGCACGCTGCAGGTCCCGCGCTCGGGGCGGAGTTAGCAGCTGCCCCTGAGGCTCGGTCCAGGCCCAGCCAGGCCGCTCACCGTAGGCCCAGGTCTCGTGGGTGGACGCCTTCTGCCTGAACTTCTCGGCCAGGTGCTCCACGCGCTCCAGCCTCCGGATCTCGTTCAGCAGCCACTCCTCGTAGCCCTTCTCCGCCTGCTCCAGCCGCTGCCAGGCCCCGGCGATGTCCTGGGGATGGGGGGAAGGTGAGGACAGGGCAGGCCCGGTGGTTACACCCCGGCCTCCTGGACACCCCTGTGAGCCCCTCCACTTCACAGCTAACGGTGTTCCCCTTCCCTCCCCTCACCCCCTCCCCCAATAAGCATTCAAGTGTGTTAGCTTCCAAATGTGTCATTATTGCCCAGGCCTTTTAAAACGAGTACAGTTGTTCTCATGAGCGAGCAAATGCCTGGTGCTTCTCCAGATGTGGACAGAGGCCACGGGGCTTTATTTTCTGGCCAGAAGACGAGGACACCTCAACATGACTCAATTCGCAGCAACTTTGACTCAGTGACTGGGCTCCACCAACCCTCTGACCGCCCACTGTTTCCTGACATCACACAAGTGTCGGGCGTGAGCCACAGACTTTCTATAAGAGGAGCAACACCCATAAAGTCCCCATCCCCGTGCAGCCTTCCTGATGGGCAAGAGAAAGACAATGAATAATTAAACCAGTGTGGGCGTGCAGGAGGCAGCCAATCCATGATTTTCTCTCATCTTTGATGTTTCTCTCTCTCTCCCTCCCCTCTCCTTTCCTCTCTAAAATCAATAAATATCCTATATAATAAAAGCCTAATATGCAAATCGATGGAATGGCTGAACGACCAGCTGAACGACAGGTCGCTATGATGCACACTGACCACCAGGGGGCAGACGCTCAACGCAGGAGCTGCCCCCAGCCTGCAGGCCCCAGGCCAGCCAAGGCGATTGCCACTCGGGTCACCCCACAGATCAGCCCTGATCACCGGCCAGGCCTAGGGACCCTACCCATGCATGATTTTTGTGCACTGGGCCTCTAGTTACATATATATATTTTTTTTTTAAAGAATGACGTTATGTTCATTAACTGAGATGACGGGACGGGAGGAGGCCTGGCACTCACCGACACCATCTTGCCCTCGGAGGGCATGAAGGCCGGCCGGTTGCTGATGCGCAGCTTGGTCTGCAGGGTGTTGAAGTTGATCTCCAGCTGGCATTTCTCCTGCACCTTCGGGGGCTTGTGCTTCCGGCGGTAATCCCGGAAGTCCTCCAGCTTCTTCTGCATGGCCTGCATGGTCTTCTCGGGGGCCCGGTTCTCCAGCCAGGGGATGGTGCGGCGGATCCACTCCAAGAGCTGTTCCCAAAACACAGGTACACGGCTACAAACACCGGCAAAATGACCCGCT